GCGTCTGCCTTCAGCTCAGGTCATGATCCCAGGGTCCTGGGATCGAGCCCCGCATCGGGCTCCCTGCTCGGCGGGGAGTCTGCTTCTCCCTCTCCCACTCCCCCTGCTTGTGTTCCTGCTCTCACTAACTCTCTCTCTGTCAAATAAATAAATAAAATCTTAAAAAACAACAACAACAACAAAAAAAGATTTATTTATTTATTTGTGTGGGGGGGAATTGAACACAAGTCGGGGGGAGCGGCAGAGGGAGAAGCACGCTTCCCACCGAGCAGGAAGCCCTATGTGGGGCTCGATCCCAGGACCCCGGGATCATGACCTGAGCCAAAGGCAGACGCTTAGCCAACTGAGCCACCCAGGCGCCCCTTGAGTTTTCATTTTAATCACCTGGCTCACCACAACAAGCACACTCCTTAAGCCCCATCTCTATTTTCCCCATCCTTCCACCCACCTCCCCTCTGGTAACCATCAGTTTATTCTCTACAGTTATAGTTAAGAGTCTGTTTCTTGGTTTGTCTCTCTCTTTTCTCCCTTTGCTTGTTTGTCTTGTTCCTTAAATTCCACATATGAGTGAAATCATATGGTAGTTGTCTTTCTCTGACTGACTTATTCCACTTGGCATTATACTCTCTAGCTCCATCCATGTGTTTGCAAATGTCAAGCTTTCATTCTTTCTGATGGCTGAATAAACACACGGCCTTTATTATGTTAAGGCACAGTCCCTCTATACCTGCTTTGTTGAGAGTTTTTATCATAAATGACGTTGAATCTTATCAAATGCTTTTTCTGCACTTATTTAGGGGATCCTATAACTTTCACCCTTCATATTGTTAGTATGGTGTATCATACCGATGGATTTGCATACAGAATATGCATCCGTGGAATAAATCCCACTTGACCCACAATGTAGGATCCTTTTCATGTATTGTTCAATGTGGTTTGTTAATATTTTGTTGACGATTTTTCTCTTCTTGTGGCATTCTTGTCTGGTTTTGGTATCAGGGTAATGTTGGCGTCATAAAATGAGTTTGGAAGTGCTCCCTCCTCTTCTCTGTTTTTTGGAGGAATCTGAGAAGAACTGGTATTAATTCTTTAATTAATTCTTTAAATGCTTGGGAGTATTCACCAGTGAAGGCATCTAGCCCTAGACTTTTGTTTGTTGGAGCTTTTCGATGATGGATCCAATCTCTTGACTAATAATCTTTCAGATTTTCTATTTCTTCATGAAATAAAGACAAATAATGATCTCACTCATATGTGGAATCTAAAAAATGAAAGAAACAGGGGCACCTGGCTGGCTCAGTCGGTAAAGCATGCAACTCTTGATCTCGGGATTGTGAGTTTGAGCCCCGTGTTGAGTGTAGAGATTACTTTCAAAATACATAAAAAATAAAACACACAAGCAAACCAACAATGAACCAAACTCATCAATACAGAAAACAGATTGGTGGTTGCCAGAGGTGGGGTTGGCAAAATGGGTGGTCAAAAGGTACTAAAAAAAAGAAAAGAAAAGAAAAATTTCCATACATCCCAGGCCCAGTTTCCCTTACTGTTAACCTCTTACATTAGTGGGGTATATTTGTCACAATTAATGCACCAATGTTGATATGTCATTATTCACTAAAGTCCATAGTTGATGCAGATTTCCTCAGCCTACCTACTATCTTTGTGTGTCCCAGGATCCCATCCAGGACACTATATTACATTTAGCCTTCATGTCTCCTTAGGCTCCTCTTGGCTATGACAGTTTCTCAGACTTTCCCTGTTTTTGATTACCTCAACAGCTTTTTAAATTGTGGTTAAAAAGCAACACATAAAATTTACCATCTCAACCATCCTTAAGTGTACAGTCAGTAATATTAAGTACATTCACACTGTTGTGCAACAGATCTCCAGAATGTCTTCATCTTGCAAAACTGAAACTCTATACTCATAAACAACTTTTTTCCCAATCCCCAGCCCCTGGTAACCACCATTCTACTTTGTGTTTTGATGAACTTGACTACTTTTTTTTTTTTTTTTTAGTAACCTCTACACCCTACGTGGGGCTTGAAGTCACAACCCCAAGATCAAGAGTTGCATGCTCTACCAACTAAACCAGCCACGTGCCCTCTCACTACTTGAGATACCTCATTTAGGTCTGGAATCATACAGTATTTACCTTTTCGTGACTGGCTTATTTCACTCATCATAATGTCCTTAAGTTTCATCCATGTTGTAGCACATGTCAGCCTTTCCAAGGCTGAATAATATCCCATTGTATGTATGTACCACATTTTATTTATATGTTCATCCATCAACAGATAGTTGGGTTGTTTCCAGCTTTTGTCTGTTGTGAACATAAGTAATCGAGAAACCGCCATGTTGTTTTCCATAAAGGTTGTACCATTTTACCTTCCTACCAACACTTGTAATTCTCTAGGGCTTTTTGACAGTAGCCATCTTAATGGATCTGAGGTGGTATCTGACTATGGTTTGGCTTTCTTTTCCCCAGTGATTGTGATGTTGAGCATCTTTCGTGTGCTATTGGCCATTTACACATCTTCTTTGGAGAAATGCCTACTAAGTCCTTTGTCCATATTTTTATTGCTGAGCAATCAATGCATATGTCACAATTTATTCATCCGTTCCCCTGTAGATGGGCCTTTGGGTTGTTACTGGTCTTGGCTATTGCACATAAAGCTGCTGTAGAAGTCTTTTGTGGGTATATGTTCTCACTTCTCTTAGATAAATACTTTTTGTACATTCCTGTATCTACCAGTACTTTGGCCCTAGTTGGTACTCAAATAAAGCGGACTGAGGTAAAGTGGACTGAGTCACAGAACTAAGAGCTCTGAGGTAGTAATAATCATTTCTTATAACAAAGTTTCAAAGGTGAACATGAATACCAACAGTACAGGCTGAATAAAAAGAAAGGACATCTGAGGTAGAGACTTAGTGATTCCGTTAAGAATTTTGAAAAAGGATAGGCTTTGAAGAAGAGCCAAAACATGGGGATGATCAGGAAACTTCCTCCTGCAAGGGACAGAGCCTTCTCTCCCCCACCTGGCTGGACAGGGATTCCTGGAGGGTGTCTTGCTGGAGTCACAATGGAGAGCTCAACATGGGGGAGGCAGACCCAGCCAGAGCAAAGATTATGATGCCCATAGCTTGTTAGAGAGATTTTCTTGTGATGTTTTATATCTTGTTGAGGAGCATTAATACTCTTTGCTTTTTCCTCTCTAAATCCACTCCTGACTTGCCATACTGAGAAAGTTTGCCCTGGCCAGGATAACCCAGAACAGGACACAGTCCAGCAAACTTTTCTCCTTGGCTCTAGAAGATGTTTGTGTGTAGTCGGGAAACCTGAGTTTCTGCCTTTAACTCGCTGTGTGTGCCCTTGTCTCCAAAGTTCCTTCCAGCTCTGAAATATTACGACTTCGCAATTATACTTCTTTCTTTAGTAAGTATGTTATTTATTTATTTATTTATTATTATTATTATTTTTTTTTTTTAGTAATCGCTACACCCAATGTAGGGCTCAAACTCATCACCCTGAGATCAAGAGTCGCATGCTCTTCGGACTGAGCCAGCCAGATGCCCCTCTTCAGTAAATACTTTTTTCTTATTACAGAGGTATATGTGTTCACCATAGAAAGTTAGAAAATATAATAAGGGAGCAGAAGAACATATAAGATCACTCATAATTCCACCACCCAGTGCTAACTCTTATTAACACACACTCATTCATATAAAAATGTGTTGAGTGCCTGCCATGTACTGAGCAGTTTGAAATACACCTTTCTAGGCTATTTATATTTATGTTTTAATGAGATCAACCTGCTTTGTAACCTGCCTTTCCCTCAACAGACAGTTGTGAACATATTGCCAGGTCAGTATATATTTTCCTACAACGTTCCAGGTTTTCATTAGTAAACACGCTCAGAGCTAGATTTTGAACAAAGTCATAACCATTTTTTTTTTTTAAGATTTTATTTATTTGACAGAGAGAGACACAGCGAGAGAGGGAACACAAGCAGGGGGAGGGGAGAGGGAGAAGCAGGCCCCCCGCCGAGCAGGGAGCCCGATGCGGGGCTTGATCCCAGGACCCCGGGATCATGACCTGAGCCAAAGGCAGATGCTTAACGACTGAGCCACCCAGGCGCCCCAAGTCATAACCATTTTTTTAAGACAATTCCTAGAAGTGGAATTACTAGATCAATTAGTAATCACACTTATGCGTCTGGGCAATGCCAGGTGGCCTGTGTCCCCAGCCTTTCTTTACGTCCTTCCCCTCACACATACACAGTGAACAGGGATAGAACTGTGCTGTCCCTTATAGCAGGCACTAGATATGTGTGGCCATGTAGATTTAAGTTAAAATTAATTAAAATAATATAAACGATTCAGGTCCTCAACTGCACAAGCCACATTCCAAGCACTCAATAGACATACGTGACTAACGGTTACTGCAATAGTTCAGAAAACATTTCCATCATCACACAAAGTGCTCTTGGACATCACTGGTCCAGAACAATGTTCAATTGATGGGAACTGTTAACTATTTTCGGGTGGAGAGATTTGGGGGAATTTTCCTTCTTATTGTATTTCTTGGCCCCAATATAGAGCATTTATCAATGACTCTTCTATATTTATTATGTGTAAAGGCTTCTTCCCTTTGGAGGGCTATACCTCATTTCCACTAGCCACCTGTGGATGTTTGATTATGGGAAATCTCCAGAGCCCTTATGGTGGGTCACTGGTTTGAATTCAAATTTCCTTCCTGGAGATGGAGCTCAAAAAAGGTGTATTAAGAATCTTTATATAGGGGCACCCGAGTGGCTTAGTTGGTTAAACTCAGCCTGGAGCCTGCTTAAGATTCTCTCTCTTCCTCTCCCTCTGTGCCCCTCCCCGCCCCTGCTCACATGTACTCTCTCTCTCTTTCTAAAAAAGAATATAAATTTACTTATATATGCATAAAGAAATTCTGGAAGGATACCTAAAAAATTAGAAACATTACTTACCTATAGCATGGGGAGTGGGTGTCTCTGCAGATGAGGACAAGAATGGGAAAATTTCTTATGTGAATGTATCACCTATTTAAAAATAGATTAAAAATAAATTTAGAATACATCTTTTTAATAGCATGCAATTGTAAAAAATATAGTAGGCAGTGAAATTCCTTTCCCTGAAGGTTATTGTCAGGTTAATAAGAATCCTTCCAGACTTGGGTCTGTTATAGACAATCACATATGATAGCTTTATTGTATAAATGGCTGGTGTGTTCTCATTCCTTAGAAACCACCAGAGTCCTACCTCCCTTCCTGGTAATAAGAGCTAGAAAAAGGGCTTCTGAAGCTCCAGGACTTCCCACCGTCCCCTCACCTCTCCAGGTGGCCCTTGCTAACACTCGATGTCTCTTTTGAAAGCCCTTGTGTCAGACCCGTTTCCAGGTGATTGCAGAACTCGTGCCAGTCATTAGCCAGCTATGGAGGTCTCCAGGTGGGTTTGCCTCACTGACCTCGCAGATTCAGACCCTTTGCTTCTTGCCCTCTCCCTTCCTCAGGTGTCTCTCTGTGCACACCTTTCCAAGGTACTGCGGGTGAAGGGAGTGAAGAGTGTTTCCGCAGTACTGGGTGGAGCCTTGGTGTATGAAAGAGGCAGGGACTCGGGGCATAAGTCACCTCCAGGTCCCCTGTCCTCCAGGAGACTGGTAACAGCCCGTTAACCTACTGCTCTTGTCCAACCTCAGTTCCATATCCACTCCCAACCCCCACCTTGCTGGACACATTTCTGAACCTTTCTTATGTCTTTGCATTTCTGTGATGGGTTTAGCCACATTGACCCTGGAGAGTCCGTTCTCCACTCCTTCCCTGGGTGCATCATGGTCCCTACCTACCTTTACTAGGTTGGGGAGTGAGTGAGTAAGGGGCATTTCCAGAGGACTGAATGGGCCTGGAGTCAGTGTAGGAAGGAGGTGGGGACATATGGTGTGAGTCATCCACAAGTGTCTCTGATGCTCCTGGAATTCACCGCCCAGTACCAGGACCAAATAGAGAAATCCCAGTTGTGGCGAGTGGTGTGCCCCCTCCCTGAGAGGCCCAGTAACTGGTCTAGCTTCAAAGGCTGTTCTCCCAGCCACACAAGACTGATACCAGCAAATCCATGGAGACAGAAAGTAGATTAGTGGTTGCCAGGGACTAGGGTTGGGGGGATGGGAAGTGACTCTTAATGGGTACGGGGCTTCTTTTTGGAGTGATGAAATGTTCTGGAATTGGACTGTGGTGGCAGTTGCTCTGTGAATATACTAAAAATCACTGAAGTATACACTTTAAAAGGGTGCATTTTATGAAATGTGAATTGTATCTCAATAAAAAATCAATTTATCCCTGGTGGTCTAGTGGTTAGGATTCGGTGTTCTCAATAAAAAAAATCGATTTATGGGTTTGCAAATCTACTGAGATCCAATTGACATGCAATAAAACACAACCATTTCAAGGTAGAGTTCAATGATTTTTGGCAAAGACACCATGCCACCATCACTCTCATCAAAATATAGAACCTGTCCATCACCCCAAAAAGTTCCCCTTTGCCCCTTCAGGATTTTTTTCAACAAAAATGAATAGAACACAGACTATCAGAATTCATCACACACAGTAAGGGTATTATTTCATAAAATGAACGTTTCCGCTACATTTAAAGATACATACACATGCATGATAACGTTGTGATGTGGGCCACCATCAAAAAAATGTAAACGCTCCCACAGAAACATGAAGTACCATGCAACGCTTGGTGGTGGTTGTAGAAGGTGCTAAGTACTCGCTCTGACGGCCACTACATGCTGAGAGTTCTGCCAGGCACTTAGCGGGCGTCATCTCATTTAATCCTTCCAACCACCACTTACCTGTGTCTCATCACCTCATTCCACAGATGAGGAAACCAAGGCTTCCCTACCTGCGCTGGTAGCTGGTTCTATCTGATCCCAAAACATACTGTCCTTAATGCCCTGGTTTCCTCTTGATGGGCTTATGACGCCCGCTGAAACGTCAAAGCCTGGAGGATACAGGCAGTTATCTAGCAGTCAGCCTCTTAATTCACTCGAGCACAGTACTGAGAGAGAAAAAGAAGACACAGTCCTCCCTCCAGGGAGCTTGCAGCCCAGTAGGGAGCATCCGCCAGATAGCTAAAAGCACCAAAGAGAAGGCCACATTGTCATGTTGCTCTTTTTCACCCTGGGTGTGACCCGGGGTGTGATGGGCTGGCTCTTCCTATGCGCAGGCCCTCGGAACGTCACCCCGGCCTTTCTCTGGCACAATCCTGGGCAGCTAGGCCAGGTGGAACCTGCCAGGCCCAGTCCATTCGAGGTTGCTCTGAAAGGCCTGAGGCGGGGGTCTTAGGTGACACACACACAGTCCTGAGGCTGCCGGAGGCCCAGGCCCTAGCCTTGCTGGAAACCTTGGAGCCTTCCAGAACCCTCCAGAGTCTTCTACCAAGCAACTGGCCACAGAGCACCTGGGGCAGGATTTACAGCACAGAATTCCTTTGTCATTAGGGTCTTTGTTCCTGAGGGTGCCTCCGTGATAGACGGGTAACCGCCATCAGTCTCTCATTGCAAAAGGGTCAAGACCTATAGCATAGGTTCTACCTTCCAGTTAGCCCTAATTGATTTCACCCAAATTGATTTACTGCTAATGAGCCTGTTTGTCTCAAGACCCAAACTTTCTTTATTAGATTCTCTGGCATCATTAAATCTTCCGACCATCAGGGACTGTCTTAAAACACTATTCTTAAACATCACTGCACTCAACACACCCCTGTGGTCTGGAAAAGTCAGCAGACCCCCAACAGAGACCAGTTTTCATCCCAGGTGTAGCTAAAAACCCCGCGAGTCTCATGGTCATTAAGCCTCCTCATTGCCCTCACCTGGTCTCGCTGGCCAGGGCTGATGTGGAAAGAACTGGAGTCAGACAGACCTGGGTTTGGATTCCAGCTCTGTCCCTTGTTAACTGTGTGACCTTGGGCAATTTACCTAACCTCTCCAAACTTTGGTTTCCTCATCTCAAAAAAAAAAAAAGAAAGAAAGAAAGAAAAGAAAAGAAAAAAGAAAAAAAAATGAGGCTAACATCCCAAGCCTTGCTGGGTTATTGTGGGATTACCTGAGATCGAGGTATGCAGTTGGCACTTAATACATATCAGCTCTCCTTTTCGTTCCTTTCGTTGGCCTGCCAAGGAGATTAACATTCTGCAGAGACAAGAACAGCCAAGCAACTTTCTCTTAAGGAGGATTTGTATCTTTGTTTTTCCTGGAAGGGGATGAACAGGAAACCTCAGACTGGCAACACCACCAAAACCTTGGCCCTTCTCAAATGTATTAAGGGGACGTTTCCACGGGGTCTCAACCGCCGTGCGTTACAACGTACTACGCACCACGCGTGCTCACCTGGAAAACAGTCCTCCTCGCTCCGACTGCAGCGCCCCCAAGAGGTGCGAGCAACCATCGCCCCACCCCCTGGACCCCTCATCGGCGTGGCCTCCACTTCGGCTCTTGCGGCTCAAAACATGCTTCTCTCCAGGAGGCCAGTTCTGAAACCGCAAAGGAGAGGACACCAGACGCCAGCTCTGGGCCCCTGCGTGCTCTTTCCCCGCAGAGCCCACCGCGATCTGCCCCCCGCCGGCCTCTCCCCTTTCTTCTCCTCCCTCCCCACGCCGGACTGCCTGCGCCTTCCACAAATCCTTCCCTTACCCCCCACCCCCCCACCCGCGCGCCAGTCTGTTCCAGCCTCAAGGCCTTGCAGCAGCTGTGCCCTCCACCTGGAGTCTCCTCCCGATGGATGCTTCCTTTTCAATATTCAGGCTTCAGATTCAGGGCCACCTGCTCAGAGAGATCTTCTCTGATCCTGGAGGCGCCGCCGTCACATCTATCACGTCGCGCTACTTATTTTCATCCTTGCGCTTGTCACTACCTAGAATTCTCTGGTCCCTTGTCTAAGTCTTATTCACCATGCCCACCCACCCCACCCCGGCCCGGCTGCCTAGAACAGCGCCTGGCACACGGCAGGTGCGTCACCCGCGTTTGTTACCTATATGAACCCTTTTGTCTTACCATCGAAGCATAAATCAATGATCTTCAGGATGGTCTCTCTTCAGAGGAGAGCCCCTCATATGTAAGTGTCTAGACAGTCCTTTTATTTCTGGCAATTTTGGCGAAGTGACTTGCTTCTGGAATTTAACAAAACCAGACAACGCCTGTCTTCCTAGTCTCATCCAAAGCTGTGCCACCTCGTCCAGAACCTGCAGAGACTCTTGCAGCCTGGCCCCTCCGTAATAACTAGGCACGGATGAGACAGAAGTTTGACAAATCCCTCTGGAATATTCAGCTGCCTGAAAAACTGGGCACAGCCTCCTCCGTGGCTGGACACATGGGATTAATTCAAGCAGAAGCCAGGCAAGAACACTGGCCCCTGAGAATGCTAAAGAAAGGGAATTTTAAGATCCAGACTGAAAAGAAAGCGGGACTGGAGGGGAGGTGGGGGAGCGCAGGAAGGACTCACCCTCCTTCATCCAAGGGGTCTTAATCTGCTAGGATTGATACTAAATGTTAAATTGGGGACAGGTGCGTGCGTGCGCGTGTGCACGTGTGTGTTTTAGGGAGAGGGTCTATGGTTTTTATCAGGCTTGCAGTAGGATCTGTGCCCCAAAAGTTTAAGAGGCGCAGATCAAGAAGGCATGCAATTAGGTTAAAGAATCATCTCCATCCTAAACACGACCTGAACTGGAACAGTCACGAGAAAGGAAAAGTGCTTTGGGCTCCAAAGAAAACAACAGCCATTTCCAACAGGAATTGGCTGTCACATTCTCTGCACTTGGAAAAAAAATCAACAGAGCATCCGCCCAGCCTGCTCAAGGCCCATCCCTTAAGCCCAGGTCTCTGGGGAAGGCAGTGAGCCTTTGTTTTCCAGTCTGTGGGCAACTGGCTAGGCAAGAAGCCAGAGGGGAGAGACCTCGATGGAAGAAAATAGAGAGATGCGCCAAGCTGTGCGGCCTAGAAGCACCCGGAGGTGGACTCTGGCTGATGCCCCAAGGCCCATGGAGTGAGGAAGAAGGTGCTAGTTATGGACCCCTGATGTCTTCATTTGGCTCCAGGGAGGATGCTGGGCCTGCTTTGCCCTCTGGGTGCTCCGAGGCACGACCGTATTAGTCACAGGCCTGGGTGCTTTTCTGAGTCAGTTTTGGACTCCTCACGGTTGGGAGGCCTACCTGCGGCCACCGCAGCTATCCGACTTGAGCTCTTGCCTGTTTGAGGCCATGTGTCATGTCTGGTGTTCAGAAAGAACATTCCCTTCCCCTGGCCCTTCTTGCCTTTGTGAAGGGAGAACCTCGGACGTGGCAGGAGTCCCAATAAACGCTGGGAGGAGAGCTGTGAGCAGGCGGCAGGCCCCGAGCCAGTGTGCTGTGCCAGCCCTCGGTGTAACCTCCAGGGAGGGCACAGTCCACACACGTCCCGGCTTCCGAGAGGCAGGCCCTGGGTGGCAGCCTGCAGCCCTGGCCTCTCCGGGAGTCCCGTGGACTCACACTCAGACTGGCGTTGTGATTTTTTGATGTTTGTATGTGTTCTATCTTTAATATATCCCAGGCGGGATTCTTGATGTCCTTCCCTAAATCTGATTCTCCTCCAAGCTTCCCCATCGCAATACATAGCCCCTTCATCACCCAGCAGCTCCTCCTTCGGCTCCCAGCTAAGCAGCACCTCCTCCTTCTCCTTGCAGAGACCTTCCCAGGCGCTGAATCTAGTGTCGTCATACCCCCCGCCCCCCACACACACCCACACACCAAGATGCTCTCTTTCATGTCAGCCTGTTTGCTGACATGTACAAGTTACATTCTGTAACTTTTATTTTTCTGTATGTCTCTCCACTCAAAATGTCAGGTCCATGAGGACCAAGGGTCTTTATTGGCTTCTCCAGAGTCACTCTCCAGCCTTCTCCCCTGTCCTCTAGGCCTGAGGAGGCTGACAATGGGGCCTGCGTGGCCCAAGCTCCCAGAAGCCACTGGCAGCAGCCAGGCGAAGGGACGGTGGGTAGGTGGCCCCTCCCTGCCACAGCTCCTACGAAGCAGCCTTCTCCTACGGCTCTTGCCGGGTTCCAGCAACGACTTTCTCCCCTTGCCCTCCCAGGCCCCGGGTGGGGGAGGATGGCTGCCGTCTGTTGCCAACCCTGACATGCTGCGAACAGTCCATTCATGAAACTCCCCTCAGTGACCCATCTTAAATGTGCCACCTGATACCTGGCAATGGTTCTGACCAATACAGGGGCCATGTCTAACTCACTGGCCAGTGTCTCCCACCAGTGGGCTAAGGGATGTCTGGCATACCTCAGGGACTTAATACGTGGCTTTTGAATAAATGAATGCATAAGGATACTATGTTTTTATTTACATTTTTTTAAAGATAGAATTCATATACCATAAAACTCACCCTTCTAATGTTTCTAACTCAGTGGTTTTTAGTTCATTCACAAGCTTGTGAGACTATCACTAATTCCAGAACATTTTCTCATCACTTCAAAAAGAAACCCTGTACCCATTAGGGTCTCTCCCCGTTTCCCCCCACCCCTGGCAACCACAATCTACTTTCTGTCTCTATACACTTGCCTATTCTGGACACTTCCTATAAGCGGAATTATGTAGTATGTGGCTTTCTGCGCCTGCTTCTTTCACTTAGCATCATGTTGCCCACATGTAGCAACATTTCATTCCTCTTTATGCTCAATAATCTAATCTGTTGTCTGGAGAGACCACATCTTATGCACTCATTCATCAGTTGAAGGCGGTTTCTGGCTTTTGGCTATTATGAATAATGCTGCTATAAACATTCATGTACAAGTTTTTGTATGAACGTAAGTTTTCAGTTCTCTTGGGTAGAAACCTCGGAGTGGAATTTCTGGGCCACGTGGTAACCCTACGTTTACGTTTTTGAGGAAAGACACTTTGTTTTCAATCTCTCTGCGCCCCCCAGCGCTGCACAGCAGTCTCTTCAGCCTGTGGCCCCAGGTGTTGGCATCTGCCTGGAGAACCCAAACTGACACGGATGTGGAGCAAAGGGGGTCTCAAACGCCGTAGGTCCACGGCAGGTATGCACCCACGAGACATTCTTGCACACCTGCACCAGGATATTCAAACAAGGATGCTCAAAGCAACATCACTGGCCGAACATCGGAGATAACCTAATGCTCATTACCAGTAGCATGGATAAATACATTGTGGGAGAAAAAAAGAAAATAAATGGATTACGGCTATGCGTAACAGCACAGAGGAACCTCACAAACACAGTGGAAGGAAAAAAAAAACACAAGTTACAAAAGAATATGGACAGTTTCACTTCCAAGAAGTTCCAAAACAAGTAAAACCAAATCATGTAGTTTAGGGATGCATATGTAGGTGGAAAAACTATTAAAAACCGTTTCAACGGCAAACAGGATATTGGTTGCCCTTGGCAGGGAGACGCGGTTGGGGAGAGGCTCAGGAAGGTCTGAGCAGCAGCCCGTTGTGTGGTTCCTGTCCTGGGTGAGATACGTCAAGGTTCACGTGGAGTTATTTTTAACTGTACGTAGGTACTGACCGACCCATGCACTATTCTGAAGGTTTTATTTCACCATTTAAAGGATAGACAGAACAGAACCTCAGTCTAGATGTCAGGAGACCCGGATTCCCCAGATCAGCTTGACCGTGCGAGAGCTGTGTGACATGAGACAAATGATCTCATCTCTCTGCCTCAACTTTTTTCTAATATGGGATGATAATAACTGCCACTTATTCGGGGCTTCCTATTCCTAGGCACCATGCTAAGTGCTGTTACATATGTTATCAGTGGTTATTATGCGTCCCTTGGTCTGAAGCCAGGCTAAGCTGAAAGTCTTACAAGGGTGCAGAAATCACCTACAGAAGCTGATGGCAGGGCGCAGCCAGGGGACAGACTCTGGCAACTCAGTCTCTCAGGGCTGCCTTTCTCTCTGTAATTGTTACATTCTTCTCTTTTGCTTTAAACTGCATCCCAGCCCACCTGTGAGGAAACGACCACCCACAACTCTCAGGTTTTTATCTTCTCCGTTCAAGACACCGGCCAGACCCGACTCTCAGTGCAAATTACAAGTTCCCCGGAGAGAGAATTCCTACTGCTTTAGCTTGGATGCTGTGTCCACCCCTGATCCAGTCAACTGTGGCAAAGGGGCAGTCACACTATGCAGAATGCCTGCTAGGGACAACCATCATGAAACTAAACGGGACTATGGGTTGTTGGCAGTCAGCCCATGGAAATCTAATTCTGTAAGGGTGTCAGTTTCTCAAAGAGAGGGAAGAGATAGTGGAAGAACAGATGATCCAATGTCAACTGTTATTTAATCTACTCTTTATAACAACCCAATGAGATAATGTCGATATCCCCATTTTAAAGATAAAGAGACTGAGAATCAGATAGGACCCAGGGTTTCTCAACAGTGGCACCACTCACATTTTAGACTGAACAATTCTTTGTGGTGGGGGGCTGTCCTGTGCATTGCAGGATGTTTAGCAGTAATCCTGGCCTCCACCCACTTGATGTTAATGGCACTCCAGTGGTGACGAGCAAAAATATCTCCATGGGGGGCGCCCGGGTGGCTCAGTCAGTTAAGCATCTCACTTCGGCTCAGGTCATGATCTCAGGGTCCCAGGATCGAGCCCCGAGTCAGGCTCCCTGCTCAGCGGGGAGTCTGCCTCTCCCTTTTTCCCTCTGTGCTCTCTCTAGCTCTCTTTCTCTCTCAAATAAATAAATAAAACCTTTAAAAAAAAAATCTCTACATTGCAAAATGTCCCCTGGAATGGAGAACCACCAACACAGGCTAACTAGATTGCACAGCAGCCCTCCACTAGTAAGACAGAGACAGGAATCAAACCCAGGTCTCGGTGACTTAGGAGCCTTCCCTTGGTCACTGTCTCTCCAAGGATCAGATCTAACTTACCTCCCTCACAAGGTGGGAATGAGGATATAATGATGAGAGAGCACCCTGAAGTTAGGTGGAACGTATTGTCTCTGCATTCTTTTTGTGCTTCCAGTTCTGTGGATCGATGTGGCTGCTCAAACAGCACAGGACTCTACATTTCTCAGGAACTTGAATTCCAAGGGCCTGACCATTAACCAACCATACTCCCTCCCCATTTAGTTTCATGATGGGATTCCTCTTCAAATCTTCTCCCTCCTGAAGACTGGTATTCTCAGAGTCTTGCTTGTCACATGGTCAATTCCACTCTATCCAACCTATGATTTATGGTAACTTTCTTTAGCTAGTTTTCTTCTAGAGGAGTCAAGTCCTTCTCCAGATAATTGGTCCCCAACACCCATATATTCTTCTTCCACCAAAAACAAAAACAAAAACCCCTGACGAAGCATGTTACATCTCTTCCTCCATGAACTAGAGATCTCAATAACCTGAGGTGCATGAGGTCTGCAACTGCATTCTTTCAAACCCAGTGGCTTCCTGGGACTGGACCCCTGGTAACTCAAAGGCCTCTCTGAGAATGTGACTTGACAAAGCGCTTCATTGACTGACTCTAATCTGTTAGTTTTTATTCAGGTTTCTCATATTCCTTGTGACTGGATTCTAAAAATGATGAAGTCCTTCATTTGCAAGGCTTTGAGGCTCTCCCATCCGAACCAAAAAGGAAAACATTTTGGCTGAGATTAGGGAAGGTTGGCCTTGCACACACACTAGCGACAGCAGGTCTTTACGGTGAGTTTCTGGAAGTTTACGAAAGAAAGCATGTCCCTAGCTTTTTGGCTCCTCCTAAAATGACCACAATATGCCATTCATATCCGTCCAGTCAAGATATAGCTTGTTTGAAGGCGGGGTTACAATGTAATATTTTTTAAGTAAACTTTTTAAATTGAAGTATAACTTACATGCAGAAAGGCACACAAATCAAATATATAGTTTGATGAATTTATCTTAAAGTACACACACCCATATAACCACCCACCACCCAGATCAAGAAAGCACTAGCATTGCAGAAGCCCCTCTCAGAACCCTCTCCCTAAATGTAACCACTATAATTTTAATCTTATGACCTCCATATTTTTTATGTATCTGATGGCCCAGATAATTATCTCTGGAGGCCAAGGTTAATCAGAAGCTGGGAGGATTGTTTCCCCATGAGTCATTCTTCTTAAGAATAGTTCATCAGTGAGGATGCTTCCAGCTGCAAGTAATAGAAACTTCAACTCAAACAGCTTACACAATAAGAAAATTTATGATCTCCACATAAATGGGAGTCCTGCTGTAGAGTGAGCTTCAGGGTTAATTGAATCAGCGCTTTCAGTCAACAAAGTCCCATGTTCTTTCCATCTCTCCACCATCTTGGTGTTTGCCTCATTCTCAGGCTGGCAACAGGACAACGCAGCACTTCTTTCTGTGACTCTCTCTTTGGAGGGAACTTCTGCCAGAGTCTCAACCTACTGGTGAGGATTTGGTCACATGTGCAACCAATCAGACCAGGAGACAGGATTGCCCAGTTGCCTTAGATTTATATTGCATGAGATGGAGGTTGAGAAGTCCACTCCAATGCTCCCGTGGAACGCCACGTAGTACTCATGGAAAATGTCGGGCCCGACTCATCTATAAACATGCTTTATAATGCTAAATGGCAACAGGGTTATAAAAAGTGGAGGTTTGTGGCTGGACATACTGGTGGAGATTCAAGGTTACAGGTAAGTAACTCTCTATGAGGAAAGAATAAAT